AAACAAATGAGATAAATATTGCTGTGACACTGGTGTCNCCAAAAATCNGAGGGTAGAAGTCTCGTTAGACTGGTTATATTGTAACGCAATTCTTTCGAATGAATTTATAGACGGTATTGTATTCATGGCCTAGTTTCTATTGATCTGAAGGTCTTTTTGCGCTAGGACACTAGCGCTCTTAAATCGGCGTATTAGTCGTTTTACCGCGTCTAAAAATTTTCCGCCGTATAAAATTAGTTTCCGGCGTATTAGGGCGTAAAAGGTGTGTTTCACTCTTCTTTTTTTCAATTGAGCAGAACTGCACTTCACTCACTACTACTACTGCACTGGCAGTAGTCGACCGGCGTAGTGTCTTCCATTTGTTGGTGGCATCTCACTTGCACACCTTAGAGTCGTGTTGCTTGTAAAGACGACGATTTCTGGCACGTTTCGTCAATGGGGCTACAGAAAGTGCGTCCACCCCCCTTTGATAAGACGTGGGGCCACGTTGACACACAACACTCGTATGCAGAATCTCTTTTAGCTGCCACGCTGGGTGAAACTAAGTAAGTTTGTAAGCTTTTACGAAAGACGACGACGCCTGTTCTTTCGGTTTGTTGAGTGCAAGTGGCTCCGTAGTTGGAGGTTTTGGGAAAGCTCCCCGAAGTTCTTTTCACTCATCGGAATGTTCTTAACTTCGACCAGTCTATTGCTTGGCTCATTTACTTTTGTCTTACTCCGCCTCTTCAGACAGAACAGACAGATAGACAGACAGACACACTCTCTCTCTCTCTCACACTAATTTTATTGAGGTAACGAAAATGTTATTTATTTGTACTTACACAAATTAACACAAACTTATACTTCCCCCAATATATTGCCAATCACCGATCCAACGCACACTCACTCTTACTTATTCCTGTCAAGGAGGCGACTTATAAAAAAAACTTGACTGTTGCTAAATAAAAAGCGTGACAGAGAGAGTAATAACAACGTTCACTGAGGGCCGTACAAAGTGGCGTACTTTAGTGTATTATGTTGGGACGTACAAATTTAGCGCTATTAGTTCCTAAAAACGGGCGATATAGTTTCCTAAAAACGGGTGCAAAAAAGACGCTCCCAGATTCATTGTAATGCATGTAAGCGCCGTAAACGCAGTGTCAAGTTACCAGGTAATAGTTAAGAGTAGTGTAGTATTACTAGTATATAAGAATAGACTCAAGGGTAGTAGTCCAACAGATATGGTCAGATAGCCCCAGGTTATTTGACAGTGTACTCATTAATACCAGACAAGGCATACAGAACTGAGGTTGTCGTTCAAGAACTGGCATAGACCGGCACTGTGCCGTGGGAATCGCGTCCTAGGTCGCCGTAAGTGACAGATAAGACGCTCGATGCCATTCAAGGTAAAATTCCGCGGTCGAGGTGTGGTAATTCTAACTCGCCTTTGTGAATCCACGGTGATAACATTAGACCTTTGTCCAAGATTCTGAGCGCTGAGCACAGAAAGTCGTGCCCGACGGGACCGCCCAATCAACCCGGACTCCCTGGCGAGGATTTCCTCCTAGACGTCACAGGTTGCCGCACTATACGCTACCTTACCGAAGATACCTAGTCGGGACAATCGTGTAAGGTTTGTGAAAAAAAAAGCTGGTGCGACACAAGTGGGACGTCCACCTCTATACCACCGAAAATCGGACCTATTTCACAAATCAGTACCCTACACTGTTGAAGAAGTATAAACAGATTATAATTATCAAGTGAAAAGTAAGTCCTCCATCTGGACGCGACAGTCATGCGAAGAGGTCTAGACTCATCCAGGCGACTCTAACCAGTTTACAACGATCGCGTGAGTCGGTCCTGTCTCTTTGGGACCGAACTCATGGCTCAACTTATTGGTCTCGCAGCAGTTAACGGGGGCGAATAGTGTTGTCCTCTCCGCTGTCGTCAACGAAGCCAGGATTGACGCCGAGTTGCCCAAAAAAAAGGACGTTCTACGCCGCCTCCGAAAGCAAAGGAAACACAAACCTACGCACCAGTCTCGAGAGAGTGGTCTGCTCAGCCCGCGCCATTTGAGTTTGTCCCAGAGTACTAGGTCACGACGTAATTCGAGAGTTAACGCAGCCCTAAGCAGACCCAGTGCTGACTGCAAAGTCGTGCGTTCGCCATTCGTTACGTCGTGTCCTGGTGAGGGGGTATTGTTCTACTAAGTAACCCAAAGAATAATCCTAGTGGGTCGGCGTGAGGGTATGGTTTCGTTGCAGCGGGCTTGGAAGAGGGATAGTGTTTTTCTAGACTGTTAAGGACCGTATATACTTCATCATCTACTGGATACCACGTCTTTACACTCCTCGCACATTTTTGGACTACACTCGTGAACGTCTTTCTTTTAGACTCGCGAGAGAACACGTGCTATACGTCACACATGTGGAAACACAGGTCATTCTCATATAACACTACAGTGTCGCCCTAGTTTGATCACTGTGACTGGTTTCACCATGTGCTAGACATATTTTTCAACTAGGTGCATTGACACTTGAGTTCCTGTAGATACCGACCTCAGTGCTCTTCTTCTTTTTTTCAAAACATCCGACATCCTTTCTTTTTCCTGACTGTCTAGACACGTACGGCCACCAGCTCTCCCTTTCTCTAGACAAAGTAGAGAACAGTCTGATATCCTATGTCTCCAAAAAAATGTATATCACAAGTAATCGCATGAGACGTAGTCTCGAAAGCCAAGAAGTAAGGTGGAGAGCTTTTGAGCCACGCTAATGGTTAGAGGGTGCTTAGCAGAGAAACGACACCGTAGAGTCATATTTAGCTGCTTATACGGGGCCAGTCCAAGAACTCAGGACACGAGGCCAAGTGTAAACGGGCCCTAGCGTAGCAGTCTTGAACAACAACAGACATGTGAAGACCGGGGGTATTTAGACACGTGTTGTATTCCAAACCAGTCGGACATCTACGTCCAGACCACTGTCACTACAGGGCGGCGTGCCGAAACAAATAGACACTAAGACCGCCCACCCACCACCCCTCCTCCCCCCAACCTACACCGCACTTGGAGATCAATTGGATTAGTAAAACCAGTGTCAAGGATGGCTAACAAACACATTGGTGCCTCATATCCAACCGGTCCGATCGGATCGGTGTCCGTGAATTGAACTGAAGGAGGTGACTCATCTACAGACTATATGACTAACCGAACTACTTATTTCTCACCTTTAGGTACGACATACTGAGCGAGACTTGAGGAAGAAATGGCCGTATGTGTGCTAAACAAAGTTGTCGGAATAAAGGTCGATAAAAGGTTTTGGCACTTCACTCTTTGGGTACGAAAAACACTCCCTTGGTCGTCGATGAAGGACAAATTCCTGCGCAGTTACCGACGTAGAGTTTATACTACGGTCATATTTGTTACAGAAGACAGCCCGGAGGACATGTAGTTACGGCTGGGACACCGACCTGTTCAATTCACCTTCTCATCTGTTATATTTCCATACCGTTACACGGTCGGTCAAATCTATTACTTCCAAGATAGTGTAGTTGAATGTACGGCTAAGTACAGATTGAGGATTACTGTCCCCTTCGCTTTTTCACGTAGAGTATGCTACTTATGAGTATAGTATTATCGGCCTGTTCAAATTTTCTTAATGGTGTTATATTAATAAGGAATTAGTTTGTTATCCTGGTTAACTTCCGCCTCTTACTCCGTCTTGACTACTAAAGTTTTACGACATATGTTCATCATTACATCCAACACGTATTTAATGCACTAACGTTTTAGCAACAATTAGTTAAGTAATAATCCAGCTAAAAAAAAAACCTGCTGTACGAGGCCGTCACCATTGTACCACCCCGGTCAGCTTTATGTTAAGGTGGCAGGGGACAGCTGTTATAAATGATCGCCAATAATATTAATTTTCACGTTCAGTCAGTTGATTTTTGCCGGCCGTCTTTCCTGCAACGGCAGTTTTTCTGTATTTCCTTTATACTGTAATTTGACTTGATAGCTTTAAACTCCGCACACGGAGCTCTGATTGGTCAGCAGGTGGTGCTTTCACCGAGTTGATCTCTTATCCTGGAACCAAATCTGCTCCCGACCAGGCTAGCCGTTCAGCATAAGTTACCATGGAGATCTAGCCCGGTAGTACAGGCCTCAGCCCTCAGGTTTGCCGTTCAGCATAAGTTACCATGGAGATCTAGCCCGGTAAGAAGAGAATAAGCGTTGTAGGACTGGAAACCCAGAGTTTTCCCTGAAGTTAGCTCGCTAAGCGAAAATCCGGCTTCGTAGTACAGGCCTCAGGCAACCATGGCAACCATGCTCGGGGGGGGGTCTTCTTCGCTGCTTTTGGTGTATTTTGTGGCGGAAGTACAGTGCCACTTACAGGCCCGGCATACGTACTACAGCGTCTCCAGCGGGTCGAGCGGTCTCGTGTGAAGGGACACGTTTATTGAGCCGTATCCGTGTGAACCGAAGACTTTTTTGATTTCAAATTCGGTTTGTTTGCGTTCCCGTGTAAATGGGGCCTTAGATCTCACCTTCTGTTGTGTGCTGAAAGCCAGAAACACCCCCTCTCTAATAACACCTGCCAAACAGTGATTCATTATGTAAGATTGCCTCATTTGTGGCTGGACATATAACTGTTGAGTTTTAGAATACAAAAGTAACTTCCCATGTAAAAAACAAAGACAAACAACAAAATAGCCGTGACAGTGACACAGTGCTGCAGTACTGAAAAAGGGTGTTTTCTTGCCTCATGATAACAAACATGAAGCTACCTGTTTATTAGGTACATATGTAAACATCTAATGCAGTGCAGTTTTATATAGCTGTAAACAATTCTATCATGTCAAAGCTACAATGCTCAATTTTTTTCCAGATGTTTGCAAAGTAATCGCAAGTTATCTTTATTATTTTTGATGGGAATTTTGAATTTGTATTTCTTATTTTATGCATATCTAGGTATGTGTATCCTAGATTGAGTCCTGACACTGATCAAAGCCTACTGTTACCTAAATTGAAAACACTGATGTTGCATTTCTGCCCGGAGAGCACTAACATTGTTATACATCACCCACCGTTCATCTTTTATTTGCTTACTTTCGGTTGTAGATATGCAAGCCTGTATTTCTGCTGTGCTGTGGAGGATCAGGACAATGAGCTGATCACCCTGGAGATCATCCATCGATACGTGGAGCTGCTGGACAAATATTTTGGCAGTGTAAGTCTTAAATGTCACAGATCTCAAATAAACTGTTAATTGGTAGAATGTGACAGAAAACAATAGAAAGTGTACTGTACGAATCCTTTCAGTGTGTCACTAACTACAGGATCTCCTCTGATCTGCTACTGTTTGGCCACACAGGTTTGTGAGCTGGATATTATCTTCAACTTTGAGAAGGCCTACTTCATCCTGGATGAGTTCCTGCTGGGGGGAGAGGCTCAGGAGACGTCGAAGAAGAACGTGCTGAAGGCCATCGAGCAGGCTGACCTGCTGCAAGAGGTACGAACAGTTTTGTAAACACACACTATTACACAAACTCACCAGTGTCAGGTCAAAAGGTGTTTCGTTCCATAATGTCAGATAACTTGGGTACAATGCCCATCACGTTTCCAAAGCCCTTAGTAGTATTCAAATAATGAATTAACCAACTTTCCAAACCCCCAATATATATTCTGTTTAATGTAATTTCAGTCAGAAGAGCTTCATCTGAGAAGCTGAAAACAGATATAAGGATACATCTTTTTTTCACCCGTGCGCCCCTCCACACCTGTTTATTCTAAGCATGCAGCGCTTGATGAATACCGGTTCCTCCCCTGTGCCATTGCACCAAAGCAAGTCCTGTCCTGGATGTTTGCATCTCTGTCTCACTGTAGTCCTTTGCAGTCAACAGAATTATTTATTTATTTTTAGCAAAGCATGCAGTACTGTTGTTACAAGAACAGCTGACTGTGCAGGCCTAAGAAGGGTTTATCTTACTTGGTAACCTGCAATCATAGAGGGTATTTTTTGTACTACAAAATGTACGTCAGCAACAAACCTTTCTCTCTTGTCTGCAGGAGGCCGAGGCACCACGGAGCGTTTTGGAAGAAATTGGGCTGACATAAATCATCATGCTGCAGTTCCTTCCTCCAGATGCAGATCTGGCAACCTCTGTCTCTCTCCTGTTGACTGTGTCAGTGTTGTATGTATATAATCACCATCTATGTATTCTGTCATGTACTATCCAGTAGTGTCCTTTAAATGTGGTGCCAACTGCGGTGTTGATGTATCTCCTCTGAACAATCTCCCTCACTGTATTCTGCAGTAGTATTAACATCCTTCACAGAACTAACTTCTTAAAACTCAACTGAGTACAATGTAGCGACGACATGAAACTCCAGCACCATATTAATCATCACTGATTGCAGAGTTGTGTGTGCTGTTTGGCTTCAAGTATTTTTAAAGGTGCTGTTGTAGACTCAGTCGGCAATTCTCATGATTTACCTTCACATTCAGGCCACAGAGCTCAGCATCCAAATACAAAATAAATAAATATTCTGACATCTGTGAGGTTCATTTGATAAAACTGTTTTTGATAACAAACTAAATGCATGATTAAAAAGGTTTTTCATCTTGTTTCTCAAAAGCAAATGGGCATTATGTTGCTTCACATTAAATATTGCAAAAACAATATAACAATGTACAAAAGAGGCTCATCTCTGGAAATATAAATTAAATCAATCGAGATGGTTAGATGGGTCTTTGAGGACTCAAGAAATACCTTAAGAACAGCGGTAAGTAATGACCTGGGTTTTATTAAAGGAAAATGTTTTGATCTGATACTTAGCTCTGTGACTCTGATAAGGATAACACATGAGAATTACCAACGGGGGCTAGTGCTGTTGTGGGAATCGCTGACAGTTACAATCACACGGGTCATTCAACCCAACAATTAAGTGAAATTAAAAGACATATCAACATCAGTGTTTGTTATGTAGGTTTGAATATGTTTGTGTTTAGTGAGTTGTTCTTAGAAATGAACCATGTATATTATTTTCAAGACGTTACCTTTTGTTAACCTCAGCAGTTTGTAATGAGTCTTGTTTCCACAAAAAAAGACTTTTCCTGACCAAAGCATTTGTTTCATAATGGCCTCTGGAGTCAAATCTGGGACAGGAAAGCATAGCGACTCAAAAGAAAAATATTTTATGTATAGTTTAGTTTGGCTTAAAGACTAACATGACCAAAGAACACTGTGTTTTATCTTCTCGATGTAGTCTACAGAAAGTTAACATGGCAGAAAAGGGATTTAGAGCGGCAGGATGTTTGACAGAACATGTATGTGGGGATTATTTGGCCACAATATAGCAGTATTATTATCCCAAACAGTTTAAGGGCAGGTCTAGCATGAGTTTCTTTATGGGGTAGAAGCGACAGAAGATGAACTGCACATATCAGGGGACATCATGAATATTCATCAGCGTCAGCTTGTTCACTTGTCAGCAGGAAAACAGGCCAACAAGTAATGAATACATGCTCATCCAAGAATTGTATCTGCATTCTTAAAACCACAAAGTGTTGTCATCGAACATTCAGAAGTAATTATTCGACATCTTTGATTCGTGCAAAAATAAATCACTTTTTGTATTAAACACTGCCAAGTCATTTGCCAACATTTTTTTCTTATTTTTGCAAGTTATTAACAATAAATGTATACAAAGAAATAACCCCTGTTTTTGATGTTTTTTCATATTGTTTTTACTCAGCATCAATAACCATGTTGTTCTGCAGCTCCAGTATCTGATAATTGAAGCGACGTTAACTACTTTACAAAAGCTACAAATATTCACATATGTACATGTGCATTGGTGACAGGAGATAACTTGCTAAAAACATGTCGAGGAGAAAAGCCAGAACCAATTCCTATATTTTGAAAGGTAACTAAGAGTTACTCATGTCCCCTTCTCCAGCGGTCTCATTCAGCATTTCTGTGATAGACTGTTCATGTTTCACCTCAGGACAAAGCTCCCTGTCAACTCCCGGACTTTGATCTAAATCATGGTTTTTCTGACCTGCCTCTGTTTCATCCCCCCCCCCACTAGGACTCGCTGCAGGGAGACCCTCCACTCTCTCGTCCTCCGACTCTTTCTCCTTCTCTGACTCTCCAGATGAGGTCACTCCTTCAGGCAGATGGCTTTTTTTCTTATGCTTCTTTTTGCTCTTTTTCTTGCCCTTTTTGGATTGTTTGTGGCGGCGGCGTGTTTTGGTCTCCTCAATAGCATCTGGTTTCTTGGGGCTCTTTTCTGTGCTGCGTTTCTTCCTTTCTCTGCTTGTGCTTCTCGACCTTTTCCTCACTTCTTCATGTGTTTCTGTGTCTCTACTGTCTGTCTCTTCACTTCTATTCTTGTGCTCCCTGTCTTTATCTCTACTTCTGTTTGGCTCTCTGTCTCTACTCCTCGACCTATCCTTACTCTTGCTCAGATACCAGTTGTTCTTTCTGTCACTGTGTCTGGATGACCGTCTGTCCTCTCGGTGCTGCTGGGACGCCCTGCTCTCTCTGCTCCTGCTCCTCCGTCTGTCTCTCTCTCGTCTGCTATGGGATCTCTCAGATCTCGGGGGGCTTCTGCTGTTCTGACGTTGCCTCCACGATCTGTCTCCGTATCTTTCTGATTGCCACCCGTCTCTGCGACTCCCCCTGACGCTGCGGTCTGGAGACAGATGCAGGTCTCTGTCCGCCTCCCAAAATTCATTGCCAGGGTTTCGAAATACATGCAGGAAGTTACAGTGCTTCCCTTTGGGGCACTTCTGTCTGTCGTACAATCCTGAGAGAGGAAATACATCACAAACAAGATGAATACATTGAACTGAATCTTGTATCTCTGCAGTAATGTCACTAAATGAAAAGAAACTCTTCTATCAGACAGAACAACTCACCACATATAGCATTCTTCCACCGAGTAACAGGACACATCTCACAGTGAAGCTGCCGGCCTGCGTACCACCTCCCATTGAACCTGATGATGGCCTCCATGCACTGCTCCTCTCTGGACACAGAACAGAGAGATGGGAGGACAAATAATTAAGTGTTTTATTCTGAACTTCAAACAGTCTACAGGTATTATTTTGGGAAAGTTATGGAGCGGTTGCGTGATAACTTACGTGTCAAACTGAATGTAAACATTTCCTCGCAGGTGTGGTTCGTAATTGCAGCTGACCTAAAAAAGAAAAAGGTATCAAGGAAACCGAATGTAGGTTTTTAGACTTATTCCTGAACAGTGAGGTTTCAGGTTGGTTTTTAAATAGGAATTCTTAGAAAAAGTCAGAGGGATAACTTAAATCTGACCGAATTTGGCAGGAGATAATTTTATATATTTGTATTCATTTATATTTTTGAAATGTTTTAATTGTGTAGCACACTGTAAGGATGATCTTTTTACAATTTCCCAGGCAAAATAAAGACAAATATTTATTTATGTAATCTAAATTGACTAATAAAACAATGAAAATATTGACACAAATAAAGTCACATGCAGAAGTTGAATTTACCAAAAGAATCTGTCATAGTATTTATATGAGCTGACACAAACTGGTGGCTGTGTTCTGTTATTCTAATAATACATGTAACATGTCAGCAATCAGAGCCGCTACCCTGACCTTATATTCTGAAATCATGGTTTACTTATTTAGGGTGTATATGGATTGACATTTTTGGTACTTCCTCCTGGTCTCATCTTACCTTGAATTGCACCACCTTGCCGACACTCTTCAGCTCCGGCAGGACGTCCTGGTAGAAGTCGAGGAAAGTCTCCTGCAGCTCCTCCTCGCTGTATTCCAAAGAAGCATCAATGTCGTAATCATCGCGGCGCGACTGCTGCAAGCCGAACGTCGTAAACATTCCCCGGATCATCAGAGTGGGGCTGGCTGTTGGATAAGCATGCTTCCGAGAACATCTGGACTCACAAAGAAGGAAGAGGGGAGAGTATACAGAAACATTCAAAAAACATTTGTGACTTGTGCAATAATTAGTCAAAAGGAGAAACAAACAGTACCTGTCTCCAAATCGACACGCCCCGGTCTTCAGGAAGAAAGGACAGTTTGCCACGTCCCGCTCCGTCCCAAAGTTCTCCGAGCTCTTTGCCCCAGGAGCCTCGGGATTCATCCACGCTCCTCCATTCTCTAACTGGAACACAAGAACAAAAATGTATATGTTGTAAGGTCTGACATTAAACGGGAATAAGAAGCTAGCTCCTAATTTTAAAAATAAATAAAAACATTATTTTTTATATATAAATATATATCTTTAAAGGTGGATGAAAATATTTCGAATTTTGTAATCAAATATGTACTTATCAGGGTTAATGCAGTATAAAGACTAAATAATCAGTGATGTCTGATGGTAGAAATTAAGCAAGAGAGAAATTATTTCTGAAATGAGTCTAAAAATATCTTTGACATGTTCTTTATGTGTGAGGTTTAACTGAACTTGAATATATAAACACATTAAACTGAGCTGCGCATTTATAAATGAAACTGAGCTGCACACTATTAGGATACATATATTCCTAAATTGACAAACAAATCTATACAGACTTTGAAGTTCACATGTACTCTCATAAAACACAAATATGATTTTGACACTAGTTTTTACTTGTGACATTAATGTGTGTTCATACCTGATTTTCTGCTTCATCCAACATTTTCTGAACGGCCTCCTACAAATGGTGTAAAGACACGGCGGGTGAAAATGTGTAGAGGTCAACATCTGTTACTGTGTGTTAAGACCACACTCACAAGAACTGGCATTTAAACATTTCTGGACTTTTGGAAAGCGATTTCACAGACTGTAGTCACACACAGTAAAAGATACATCCTTGTTGTGAGAGCTGAAGCTGCTGTTAGGGGTTTTCTCTCTGTGTGTATCTTAGTTGAAGAGTTGGAGGGTTGCTTGTGCCACTTGGTCAAGGATTTTTTTTTTTTTTAAGAACCATGTACAAACAAAAACAAATCTTAAAAAGAAACATGATGACTTTGTGATTCTCTGAACCTTCCCTTTTGGATGGATAATAGAAACACTTAAGTAGAAGAGGATATATTTCTTTTTGTTTATCCTCCTGGGGCCCGTTTCACCTCTCTGTCTCGCTTGTCCTGCTGCTTCTGTTCTTTTTCTTCTTCTTCTTTCTTCTGCTGGGCCTCCCATTCCTCCTTTATCATTCGCTGTAAACACAAGAAGACATAAAGCGTGTGAATATAAATCATCTTATTTAGAATAATCAGTGGAACAGGCTCCGGGGCACACGTCTGTTAGCCATTTATTAACACAGTAACCAGACCCAACTGAGGGCAGTAATCTTCTGTGAAAGGCTCCAATTATTCACATATTATGTAAATTGCCACATTGGTAAATAACTTCCGAATCAGATAATTCCCACATTTCACATCAGTGTGAATACAGACACATCGGTAAATCTGCTTTATTCACAAAATGTTAGTGCGTTTTCAAAAATGGTCATGTTTTAGATGCTTCTTATGTTACACACAAACAGCAGATTACCTCTTCCTCCTCTTTTCTTTTCCTTACAGCCTCCTCCCTCTCAGCCCTCAGCCTGAACTCCTCCTGAGCAAGCATCTCTCTTTTCAACCACTCTGTATGCAGCCGTAGTCTGAACAAAACAAGACGGACAAAAATCAAACAAACAGTACAACAAACATTTCCTGTGTTGCCCGTCACTGAATGTTCAGCTGCAGGTCAGCAGAGAGACGATGGTATTAACCTACCTTTCTTCCTCAGCAACGTCATTTTCATTTATTTCTTCTTCTTCTTCTTCCTCCACTTCATATGCAGGGCTTCCTCCATTTTTTAAACCTGTAACAGAGGACATGTTGTGTTGGATCCATCTTTTGGTGCAGCTTCAACTGTAGAAATGATAGAAGCACCAACATTATATCTTTGTACCACTTTCTCTGGCTCGGGCGAGAGCTTGGCGTTTCTTTTTTCTTCTCTCTTTCCTCAGAGCAGCCCGGCGTTCCCTTTGACTGAAGAAAAAAATATGGCATTGGGAAAAAAGCATCAGATTAAAAGAAAATCGATGATGGTTGCAAACACTATACACTTGCAAGACCAAGTTGATGGGTTATGCACTTTATATTTCTACTGTATCAGGTTGATGAGATTACTATAAATGTGCTGTAGTCCGCCCACAATTGTGCAATATCTACAGTGAAGCTTCAATCATCATTTTGTGATTCGGTAGTATGACATTGGCGTTAATGCAAGGTACATGTAGATAGTATGTTAGTCTCGAAATGACCAAAACGTTAAAACACAGAACACATTTTTACTTGAATAAAAATAACCGATAACCCAATTTTTCTATGAGGTTTAAGACATTAGTCGCTACAGCAGAACTAACGCAATGGCTTTACAGCAATTGGGTCTCTACGTTTTCTTATGGTATTGTTGTCCAACACCCAAACATCGTTAGATGGTCAAGTTATGTCAACAGGATTTAATTAGAAACACAGACCTTAACAAAGGAGCGGAAATCAGAGGAGTTGCCATCACAGCTAACGAGCTAGTTAGTTAGCATGTGCAGCTGACGTTAGTCCTTGTTGTATACTCTCATCGGCGATTACTTTAAACAAACTTTAAATTAGATGTTCTCTGAGGGGACATGATACTACAGAATTAGAGTCGGGTTGTCCGAGAAGTGATACAACTCAATAAGTTACGTTTGTTTCAGCTACTTCAGCTAGTTGTCTGCATGCGGAGTTGTTTTGAGAGGAAGAAACGATGGTGTTACCATAATTACTTCCGGGTAAAACCGCTTCTTTAAAAAAAGAAGAAGATGAAGAAATAATAAGAAGATGCTCACATTTCTAATCGGGGGTTTTAACCCATAAGAACCCGGACCCATTTCTACTTTTGAGAAAATTAAGGGGAACATCATTTAGACTAAATGGACCACCTAGAACACATTTCTGACAAGAAACCCCCCCTAGTGTCAAGTATCTGAAATGTATCAAATATCTGAAATGTGACATTATGTCACATTAAGCTTTAATGGTAAAATAACTCTTATATTTAACTTAATTAATGAGGATGATTTTTTGGTTTAAATTAGTTTGAACATTCTTAGAATTGAAGAATAAGACCATATTAACTCAATATAATTGAATCAGCTAAATTAACTGAGCAGATCATAATAATATGTCTAATTGTGCATATTATGTCACTTTGGGTTTACTGTGAAAGTTTAGGGTTAAAGTCCCGATGTGACACCAGTGTCACAGCAATATTTATNCGACCAATCATTTTAGCCGGCCGGCTAAAATAATTGGATGGCCTACCTGCCTGTCAGCCTTCCATCTGTGCACAAACTTATCTCGTGCCCTCATTGGTCATGTGCGCGTTCGTGTGTGTTGGAGGAGGGGTTCTGTAAGGAAGTGGCAGATTTTTTCCGTTTGTGTATTTTCAATTTCTAGCGCACTCGAGCTGGTTTCTCCAAAATGACATGCCCCACCTTTAAGTTATAAATAAGAGTTACTTTACTATTAACGCACAATGTGACATATATGTCACTTTTCAGATCTTTGGCACTATGGGGTGTTACTTGTTTATGTGGTCTATTTACGGTAGTCTAAATTATGTTCCCCTAATTTCCCCGAAAGTAGAAAAGGGTCCGGCTTCTTATGTTCAACATTAAAGTTCATCATTATGTTATAACAAAGACTCAAAGCTCTGTTATTCTGTGAGAGGCTCAAATATTTCCTCCCTCTTTCTTACCTGTAAGCATATTTTGATATGCATTATCAGAGACGGAGAAAATATGTGGCGGGGCCTCCATGCGCTTCTTCCCTCTGTAGGCCGAGACCACCTTTGGGTCGTACACCGGCAGCCACTTGTAGGGATTTACAGTGACACAGAAGAGCCCAGAGTACGTCTGCAGGTGGAAATAAACAGTGTGTGAGGAAAGAGAGTTCAGAGAATCAAATAAAAAATTGTGAAAAAGTCACTTTCATTACTGACATAAATCATCCACGCTGCATAACGATCTTTGAGGTTAAACAGCACAGAGGGCTCGTTGAGGTAGGTCATCATGGCCATGTCCTCCATCTTGTCATACTTTGGGGGATTCATAGCATGGCAATCTTCCTCCTTGACTGTTACAATCTGGAAAAATAAAGTGAGAAGAGGATATGGAATTATATGTATTGAACAAAAGAGGATATTCCTGCTGCAGAAGCTTTAGATCACATTAAGAAAAGTATCTTTGGCTTCTACAAAGTTCACCATGGTACAGAATGATACATAGCATCATTTAAAACATTCAAATATACAGTATACAAAAGTGGAAATGGGCATGTAGCGAAAATGTTGTAAAGCTAAATAACTAGCAGGATTCAGGAGAACCAATTATATAAAATTAATTTAAATATAAATGTATACTTTGCTAAATTTCAACACACTTCAGACTGTATGGGTTTTAACTAAGACAATACAAACATCACTTTAAAATGAAGAACACTTATGGTGTTTGGCTGCAATCAAAACCATAAAGCTATTAACCAATAAACAATTGTATTTTCTAGGTCAGAGTAAAACAAGTATAACAGTAAATGCAGGGATTGTTTGACAGGATAAGTTGTAATACTACGTGGCACTGATTGGGACAACCCATACCAAATAATCCTGCTACAATGGCTTGTTTAAAGGCACATTTTCTGAATACAAGCTATGTGCATTACTTTATGGATTGAGCATTTCCATGCTTTCAAAGTATGTATAGAGCATGCACCTACAACAGCATTATGATACAAAATAGACATGTATATCTCATTTTCTCAAATATAAGACCTTTAACATAAAAAATTGAAAGAAGTCATGCTCCAACCAGTTGAGGCTGAAAGTCCCACACATGGCATATTTTTCACAAATCATATAATCTTCTTGCTACGCTAACCAGTTTTAAAGCGTGCTGAAGTGTTTTTTACATTCATTCCAGGCAGCTGCTGTTTAAATTATAATTTGTGTATGATAAATGTAAAGTTTAAAATTATCTTTGAGCATTAATTCCGTTAGACATGTACCTCGTCAGCTTCAGTTTTCACGGTGACTTGGTCACCTTCTCTGTTCTGGATGACACCCTTGATGTACAGCTGCTTGGGCTCGGGCACAAAGCAGGCCGTTCTGGCATCAAACGGGCGGTTCTGCGCCTCAATTCTCTCCTTCTCAGGTTTGCGGAGAAAGACGGATGCAGGCCCAAATTGGGCCATCTCAGCATCCGAGCTCATGTTGCTACCTGGAGATTTAAAAAAAGCAAAAAGTGAGTTATTGCAAACAATTAAATAAACCAAAATAATTATGTATCTAATGTATGTGTTACTTACCGGGTTAACAGGACCCAGTAGAGTTGTATCAGAGCCAACAATGTTGACAGATGCCACACGGGGAAATTATAGACCAATTGTCAGTGAATGGCAGGATGCTAAGTGAACACCAGTGGGAGGTTGAGTCTCCTTTTATCAAGACGAATGTGCTGCTGAAGCAAACCAGATGCTCCCATGGCACAGGATCTTGTAGTGGTAATAGGAACATATCTGTGGCGGCAGGTGATAATCCTCAAGCACTATTTTTACATGCCTTTCATACTGTCAATAACTGTCATTAGCTACTTAACGTCTATGTGTTTACTGACTACTTAGCTTTTTAATGACTGATGAGCTTCTTCATCAATGTGTTTGATGTCAAATTTGGATTTAGTGATGTAAATGTTTCATTGTGTTTATTTATGGGTATACACCAGACGTAACTTAGACGTTAGAACTTGACCTGATGCATCATGACCTTCACCACCTGCTCATTCACCTCCAGGGCACCTTGCTGAGATTAAATGGATCAAAAAGCAGACAGTTGTCAGTACAATGTCGACATAACCTTTAAGGAATGTCTCATGAAGAATGAACTTTTATCTACAAAAATCAGTTATTTATTTTGGGGGAACTCTATTGAACTCTACTCTACTTCCTTTCAAAGTGTAATACTTATTAATATCTTATTAGGGATGATAATTCATCATACACATTATCAAGTTGTGAAGGTTAAGTACTTCACTTCTCTGATATAACATGCAACTCATAATTCTACAAGCAGACACTGCTCATTATTATCACTAGCTACACCTGCACGGCAGTTGGTCAATGGAACAAAAGGGAACCTTTTTATTTTATTTTAGTAGTGGTTTTCTTAAGTTGCATTTTGTATATCCTAAATCTTTAGACTCTCTGTGATCCACTGATATCACTCAAGACACAATCTACTGTAATATATGTATAAGAATAGGGTAATAAATGTTGAAGCAAAATATTTCCTACAAATAGGATTTCTTTAAGAAAAACATTTATCAAGGTTTGAGGATAGCTTAAAACTGTCTAGATTATTTAAAATTATTTCTATTAAAAATGTTTTCAGTATCCAAAACAAACAAATAGAAGAAAAAGTGGTTCATCATTATAACGATTATATAACAAATATTAATGAAGTGTATATGTTAAAACATGTAAAAAGAAAACAGAAATGGGCCAAGAATAGGACCCTGTGGCACACCACCAATTACAAAGGCCAGATGAAGATAAAGAAGATTACATCCTGATTTGACATTCATTTACTACAAATGCTCTTTTATTCTTATGCGTTTTGAATTGTATTCCTTTTATAATTATTCAAACCATTAGTAATTTTTCTGCAACATTTCTTAAGCCATGTATTCAATGCCAAGGTTAGAGGCAGCCAGCCACCTTGAAGGAAATGGTCTGGTTTGTCTGTTTTGTTTACAAGTTAACACATAACGGTGTCCTGTGTAGGATCACACGACGACAGCTTTGCTACCACATTTAGAATAAGCAATGGAAACCGTCTGTAACTTGAGCTCTCATTATTTAGGGGGAGCAAGTGTGAACAGCGGATTGTCATCATGAAAATATATCAGCATCATAGCTTAATATCCAGCAGTAAAGCAGAGTGTTGGTTTTGTATCAAGAAATCACAAGGATAAATTAAATCAAAGCTTAAAATCTGATCTTTGTTAGAATTAACTACCTCATGCGTGCCAATTATGTTTCTTACCAACTGGTGAACATCAAGTATTGATCAGCCTGCTCTGATTGGTTAGCTGGCAGGCTCTGTTGTGAATTGTCAACCGCTTAGAGATGTCCCGCCTCTTAGCTTATGACGTACAATGTATTGCAGCGCTCGCCAATAAAAGCATGAAAGTAACAGCCAGGGAGGGGAGTGAGTGGTAGAGAAAATCCCTCTGGAGGCAACTTTGTGATTTTAAACTTTGCAAACATTTACATGCACAAACACACCTATTACAATACCGTAAAGGGAGACTCCCAAAAGCATAATAAAGCTTGCAAAAAAGCGACTTGAAAAATAATAATTAAACCTCTTGCAACTTGACTTGGACTTTACCACCATTGACTCAAGACTTTCCTTGGACTTGAAGCCCTGTACTAGAAAATTCCTGATGTGTTCCACTAAGCACAACAGATTAAACGTATTTTATGTAAATTACAGTGAATTCATTTACTTCCTGACTCATCAAATGTTAACGGTCAAGTCAGCACTTTCCACTTTGTTTTACCAGACAGTATCCAATCAAGTTGCACGAGAGAACCATAAACAACTGCAACGCTAAGTGCCAGTTGTAAAGTTGGTACATAAAACAATTTTATTTGCGAACAAAAACAATGCAATACCAAGCCAAAAACAAATTTTAAAATGGTTAACGTGTGGGTCAGAATTGGTGACTTTTGATTTGTTTAGGATTCAAAACTCAGAGTTAGGACTTGGGACTGGATTGAAAAGACTTGAGACTTATACTAAGTATTTTTAATTTAATATTTTTGGTTACATTTGTACACTGTAATGTTCTTGGTTTACATATTCTTGCCACCAAAACAAACCTCCACTGTGAGAGAATCACCCTGCAATGTTGATGAAGTGGTAACCTGTGTTTGTCCCTTGCTCTCCACTTCGTGTGAATGACCTGTCAGCTCCTCAAGTACCTCAAGTACCTCCTGTCCTCCGCTTTGCACTCACTCCTCTCTCTGAGGTAAGCTTCAGCTTTTTGTACGTAACGCTCCTCTACTGAAAGTGACAGTCACTCTAACCTTCCTTCACAGGGATTTCTACAAATGTCATGAACATACCAGCTGCTGCTTATTACTGCACAGTGGACAGGAGAGAAAATATGCGGATTTTCACATGGTTTTCTAAAACGCAAGGTTTACAATACTCAAATGACAGGCCTGTTAGTATTTAGGTTTTTAACAGTTTTCAGTTAAAGCTGTGAGCCAATACTAATATGATTATTTACAGTTGAATTGGTGAGACTGCAGTGTAAATGAGCAGCTTTTCATTATCAGCTGAGAGCTTCAGTTTTTAGTGATAAACAACAGTGTGGTAGCACCATCTGAATTTGTAACCATGCTTGTTTATGCAGTGATGTGTTTTTCTCCAGTTAAGCAATTATGACCATGTTTGTATTATAACATATGAGCAATATGTATTATCAATAACATCAAATATATATATTTTTTAATAAAATGTGTACAAAATCCAAACTCTCTGCTTCTTCTTTTTCTTTAGTAAGTCGATTTAAAAAAGGTACTGGGAAAAGGATGTACATGTGGTAAACAAATTAAACATTGTACATTTTAATGGTTTCAAGTGGAATAATGTTCAACATGAATATAGTGTCTCCATCTTTTGGCGATCTATTTTAACTGCAGGCATTGAGACAAAGCTAATGGAGACTCTTTTTTTAAATGTAAGATACATTTGAATAATTCTTTAGCCTTTTACAATCAAAACTGATATGAAAAAATATATGTCACTGTATTTCTTTTTATTTTAAGGATTAAATATCCAAGGAGATAAAAAAAACTGTTCCGACTGCAGGCAGGATTCATTTAATAGTATTATTTATTTCCCATAATGTTCAGAGACACTGATTGACAGGCATGCAGAGAGCATGGTTTTTGTCTGGGTAACAATGAAGTTTTAGTTTGGGTCGGTGCGTAAATATCTGCCGAGTAGACACTATTCCTGGAGCATGTTGAGCTGTCTCTGTTTGCTTTGCTCAGTCCTCACTGATCCCAGGCTTAACAACAGAGAGAATGGAGAGCAGATGAAGAAACCTAGTTTTTCACATGTCGATTTAACATCTCAGACTAGCGAGTCTATATTTATATAGATAGTCAGTGACAAAGAGTCTAGTTGGTCCACACTGAAATATCTCAACAACTACTGGATGGGTTTTCAGTAAACCTTCATGCTCCCCAGAGGATGAATACTAACAGCTTTGGTGATCATAAGACTCTTCCTATAAGGGCACCTATGGTTGACACTTTTAGGGATTTGGGTAAAATGCTTTGAAAGCTATTGGGAGGATTGCCACGAAATTTGGCTCAGATATTCATGTTGCCCAGAGAACAAACCCACATGACTTTGGTGATCTCTTATCTCTAAGGGTCACCAGTGGACTTGACTTACAATACTTAGGTTTTTAACTGAATACCTGCAAAATAAGTGACATTCCCATCCATCTTCTCCAGCTTATCCGTGGTCGGAAGTGACATTCCCAAGAGACACATTTAAAAATCAATGCGACAAAGGACAACATACTGTATGCAGTCAGGTCAAGGACAAACAAATAGACTGGCTCCTATATTCCCCACAATGCAACTTCCCTTTTAATTGAATAATCAGCTGCTTATATAATAATAATAATAATAATAATAATAATAATAATAATAATAAATGTTATTTCTATAGCGCTTTTCTTGAACCCAAAGACGCTTTACATTTGGGAGGGAGGGTAGACAAACAAAACATATATATATGACATTGTAGCTTACATTACATTACATTACATGTCACTTGTTAGACGCTTTTATCCAAAGCGACTTACATACTCAATACTGTGGGTAATCCCCACAGGAGCAATTTGGGGTGAAGTGTCTTGCCCAGGGACACAACGACATGCTGACTGCAGTGGGGTTTGAACCTGTTCGGAACACCAACGCGCCACAAGTTTCCCGTCTTACTTGAAGGTCAGTTTTTTTTATTGCTGCCACAAGTTGTACAACTATTAGGTCAGTGTATGTTTTGGTCATTGGATTTTCTTTTCACAAAAGGATATTCAAAAACCAAAAACGACTGGATATTTGATTTTCGTTTTCAAATTGAAAAACCAAAATTGAAATACAAGGCGTTTTTCTTTATCATGGTCAAAAATGGATTTACTAAACTTAAAAAACGGGATGATTTTCATTTTTTACTTCTCCAAACAAAAAATAAAATCACTAGAAAACAGAAACAAAAAAAGCCCCGTTTTTTCATATAGATGAGAGTAACAAATGCGTCACTTCCGGGCAAAAATAACGGCTCCGCCCACTTTTAGGGGAAAACAATGCTGTCAGTTGAACGGGGGTCAATACAAATTATGAAGTTTTTGCCAATCCGATCAGAAATGTAAGAAAACCGGAGATTTTTGGATCTTCAAAGAGCCCGATTCCAATGGCCAGACAGGCAAACAATTGCATTAAGCCATTAGAAATCGACGATCGGGCTCGATATATGGTTAAATATAGCAGTAGGCTATTTATTTTCATAGATGAGAGTAACATCTACGTCACTTTACGGCCCCGCCCACTTTTGGGGGAAACAACGGCTGTCATTTGAATGGCGATCGAGCCTGAAGCCACATAAATCTTCTGTTACTGTCCTTTCTTCTTAGAGGAAGTACAGAAACACGTAACTCTTGATTTGTTTTAATGTTTGAGGTGCAATAAATGACACAGCAGCTTTTTGGCATGATAAAACTATTATGTTCCGCCTCACTCATGAGAGTAACAGCTGGAGAAATTACAGCCTCGCCTACTGATTTTAATTTAACCATATATCAAGACCGATTGTCAATTACCAATGATCGAATGTAATTGTTTGCCTGACCGGCCATCGTAATCGAGCTCTTTGAAGATCCAAAAATCCACAGTTTTCAAAAAAAATTGATCGGATGGGCAAAAACTTCAGAATTTGTATTGACCGCCATTCAAATGACAGCGTGAAAGTGGGCGGGGCCGTAATTTTTGCCCGGAAGTGACGTAGGTGTTACTCTCATCTATAGATCTAATGGTGGTGATAATTTATTATATTATCAAAACATTATTATAGTGTTATAATAGTAATATAATAATATAACAATAAATAACACAATATTAATATAATATTAACAAATGTTGTATAAGTAACAATACTTACATGTCCACCCTCGTTAGGATGTTGTCCACC